ACCAGGCTTTGCAGATCGACACCCACCTCTCCTATTGCCGTTTACCGACAACAACGAAAAGCCACCTACAGAACCTCTCACTCGGCCCCATCATCCCCCCTCGACTACTCCTTCTCCACCCCCAATGTTCAATGATCTCAAGACCTCAGCGATAATCCCTGATCAACAACATCCTATGCCTGATGACAACTTGAGTAGTATTGTAACACCACCAGAGCTTGCAACTGCTCCCTTGGCTCCACCTGAATCTTTTGAATCAAAATCCGCTTTATCATCCACTCCTAATTGTAGCTCATCCCTGATCTGCCCAACTGCCCAAAGCTGCCCTGAAAACCTTGAGGTAGCTGCAGTCGGAGGCATCGAAATTTTAGATAATGGTGACATCAATTCTATAGAAGCCCGAATAGCCCCAGAATATTCACAATCCACTCTAGATTACTACAATGACATCCAAGAGTACCTCCAGCAGGCCAATGCGGATGAGACTGAAACAAAGAAGAAGAAGAAGAAAAAGAAAAAGAAAAAGGCCAACCCAACTTCAACTCCCGACAATCCGATCTTATTTTATGTTTGATACCTTCACCCTCTGTTCCCCACACATATCCTCCTACCTTCCTCACCTTCCAAATACTTTCCTTTCTATATTAATTCTATTTTCCTCAAGCTCCTCTCAGTTTTGTTCCAGTATCAGCCACCACCCCTGAACTCTTCTACACTTCCCCTGCTTTCCAGTTTTTTTTCCTCAGTTCTTGCTTTTGTTTAATTTCCCCCTCTTTATTTTCTCTTATAGGAGGGGAGACTGTAAGCCCTGCTCCTCACAGGCTTACACAAACATGTCACATGATTACATAAGCTTGTTCTGGCTTGTATTTAGTCTCACTTTCCCCCTTTACCTAGACAGCAGAGATCTCTCTCTCCCGTCTAGGTAAGTACCCAATCCTCCTTCATTCTCTTCTCATTTCTTTCCTCCTTTTCTTCACTTGTAGATACTAACAGAGAGATCTCTCTCTCCCGTCTAGAACTGAAATAAAACACACTTTGGTACTAGAATCCTTCCCTCAGGAGCTATTGAGCCCTTGTCTAGTGCCATTTCCGACGGACAGTGAAGGACTCGACGGAGTCCTTACAATACTGACCTGGTTTCCAGCTGTAGGGGATGATGATTGATTGATATTGGAACGGGTATAATTTTGAGTTACACAGATATTAGATGGACCATGCAGCTGGAGGGATTTGTGGGAATCGGCTTGAGTAGGAACAAACCCTGGTGTCACAAGGGGTATTCTTTTGCGAGCTGATTGACAGACTGGAATAGTAGCAGCTGAATGGGAAGGAGGAGTCGTACAGCCTGAACCTGGAATGAGCTGCATGTTGTGATCAGGAGTAAGGGATTGGGTCATATTGAGAGGTTACTGTTAGAGGGTTTGAAACTCAAATCAAAGTCTGATAATTAATGCCAATTTATACTTTGATAAACAGTTTCAGCTAATTTATATACTTTTCAAGTTTGGGTGGAGCTGTGGTTGGAATAGTGCCAACCATCCTGGCCCAGAAGCGCAACTATCCTGCGCTCTCCGCTATTCTCAGCAACTAGCGCCAAAACTGCCATACCGCTTCCGCTGCGCTGTTCTGTAGCAAAAGCGAAAAAGAAACCGCTCTGCTACACACTGTTCATAATGCGTGTAGAGGCTGGTTCGCTGCGCTTGCGCTGAAAGTAGCAATCAAGCGCTGCCGCTTTCGCTTTTTGACACCAGGAAAAGGGGGGGGGCCGCTGCGCTGCGCTATTTTGCCGCTTTTTGCAGCGCAGCGCAGCGGTTGCGGTGTTGACACAAGCCCTTTATAATCAACAAACCAGAACAGGATTACTGTGGACCCATATTCCAATTTTCAACCCTTGTATTCATACCCCACACACATGTCTGCAGGCTGCAAGTTCAAAACTATAACTACACAAAAAAACTGAAATTTTCAATGAAGATGTTCATTGGTGCTTGATTACCCTTATCATGACAATTCCTCTCCTTGCCAATGCAACTTCCCCCCCCCCCCTCACCAAAAGTACCAATGTGGTAAATGTGGAAATCCCTTGCTATTAAAGTGGTGCAACAATGGTGGCAATACTTGTCCAGTCCCACTCTCAGCCTGTTGCATGATGAACATGGACTGTGAAGGAAAGGCAATTTACAGATATTGTGGGGAAAAATTTCCACAGAGAGAATTGACAAGCATCTCACACTACCATTATGATGATGAATCACACTCCAAGAATCCAGGCTCATCTCACACTTTTCTGCCACAATTTGGAATTAATCTTCAATACTGGGCTGGCTGCCTTAACACTTAAAACCCTCCTATCAGGATAAGCTAAGACCTTGGTGTGGTAACCCATACCTTTCCATAGCATCTATTATTTCACTTTACATTCACTGGGAATTATTGTATTATTACTGCTTATTCAGATTCCACACCCTCTTTTACCTATAGTCACTCACTCAAGCCATATCTCATCTCTTACTGGATCACTAGTTATTTGCAGTCTTATTTTTACAGATATTATTCTTTGAATCTTTACATTTACATTACACCTTAGCTACATACAGTACATATTTACAGATTGCTACATACATCATATATTTCACAAGTACTATCTTTTACATATATCTCTTCTCATTACATCAGCCACACTCCTTTACAGTATTTATTTTCACATTACATACTACAAATATTTTTCTCAGACACACTCGTTACAATTATGCTTTCTCATATGCTTCATAGGATAACAGTAGTACACTCATTCACATTCTTTCATATTTTGGGGATTGGTTTTTTATTTACCTCTATGTACATGTTGTTCCCATAGCCAGAATTACTGTACCCTGTGCTCATTTGTACCCCAGAGTATATATACAGTCTTTTTTATTGATTGTAAACCCCCCTATGCAATTTCTACCCTTCAGATATTATTGTGCCCCTCAGGATAAAAATCTATTTTGATATCAGAACTCATATTAGTGACCTGGCCCTGTTTGTTGCTTTGCCCCCAGAAATACAATTGCACTCAGTGTCCTTAGAGCTCTGCTTTATTTAAAATCCTCATATTCTCACTTCCTCCCCTGCATGACTGATAAGGAACAAACTCATTAGATATAGTAGCCTAAGAATCAGTTAGAAATTAGCCACACCTCTTTCTTATTTCTTAGTGTGACCCTCTCTCCTCATCATTAGTTTAGAGGGCAGCCTCATCAGAACTCATAGCCTCAACTTACATTACTAGTAGTGTACTGAGTGAATAAACCAATCCTGAGCCGGCTACATAGGAGGTTCCACCTGAACGTCAATCAAAGAGTAAACATGGGAAAACTCAGCAACTGAAAGAACTAACGGATAAGGTGTGTTGGAAGGATGTGTGTACAATAAAAAGCCACAACCATAACTGAATATGTGTAATATACAGCATGATGAATTGATTTGTCAAACCACTTGATTGACTGCCCAGCAAGACAACTTTACTCAAACAGCTCAAGAAATGAAACTGAGTGTTGAGCCATTGATTTTAGGCTATAATGTACGGTGAAACATCAAGCACCCAAGGCGTTTCAAAGCAATAAATGAGAGAGATGTCATCAGCCACATATCAAAAGAGGATAATGAATGTCAAAATGGACCCAGGGACTTGTTGTACCAACAATACCTGCGTGTTTTTTTGGCAAAATCAGACACCCGGCACTGCCTGGGGGGTACCATGGGTCTTTTCTGTTTTTTTTTTTATAAAATTTCTTGTGGTCCGTTTGTGGTTGCGAGGCATGACACTGGTCAAGGATTGGTGGACAAAGTTGGTGGCTGAGTTGATGAGCAAACCATCACATATCCATGTACATATCCATCTCTGATGCGGACTAAGAGCTGGGGATTCCCGTTCACTCCCAGGGGGCAGGAAGTACTTTGGGGTGGTACCCGGGTACCTTTTCTCCAAAAATGGGAGCTCAGCACCGTCTGGAGGGTTCAAGTGGTATCCGCCCAAGGGTGCTGGGTACCTCCAAACTGGTACTGGTTGACATTAATGAAAATAGGACCAGGAACATCAAGTGGTGATTTCTGCATAATTCTTGTTTTCATCACACAATTGGAAAGAAACTCATAATCTCAATTGAAAGCTTGAGCTCAGTTCTTCTGATTGAAATTATTGTACTTTTTCGACACCAGGCTGATCAAAAGTTTCCCTCACATTTTTGTAGACATTACAGCAAAAGTGGAAGTAGATACCTCAAGAGGCACATATTTTATTCCTAACTACCTTGAGCTGAAGGAGTACCTAATCTCAAGGGTGAGGCTGTCAGAGATACTTTTCAGTCAAAGAAAGAACACATTAGGAATGGGGATAGCAATTCCTCATTTTTCAACTGAGAGGCTTGTGCCTCACAAAGGGGAGATTTTTCTACCTCCTACAAGGTGTGATCAATGTTCAATTAATGAGCCTGGAAGATGATTTTATAATCAACCAAACTTCTTCTATCTATACTGCCAAATTAGCATAGTGGTAGACAACACTGTTTCATTCTGTTGTAACTTGGCCAAGCCCTCTGTTCAACCCCAGACCCCTTCATCACCAGAAGAGAGCCCAAAATTTAGATCATCAATCATGAAATTAATTGCTGTAAAGGTTATGCTGGCTGCTATGCTCCTTTCAGCATCCTTCAATATGTACTTCTCATCTAAATGGGATGAAATTGTGACCATATCATCAGAGAGCTCAGATCATCCAACCTGTCTGAATTGCATGAATCAACCTGGTGGATGTCGTCACTGCCGTAGGAAAAAAGTCATGCCTAATTCTAGCTGTTGACCTCTGATGAAAAACAAGAAACTTGAAAGAAAAAAAAATACAAAAATGGTTTAGAACAAATCCATGATCAGAAAAGTTTAACAAAGTTTAACATAATAAAAAAAGGAAAACCCACAAAAAAGAGGAAAATAAGAAAAACACAAAAAATACAGAAGAAAAATATAAATCAATAATTAAAAATGAAAGTAAAAGTAAAAATCAGTAAAAATCAGTAAGGAGAAATCACTCTACCAGGATCACCTGAAACTCTGGGAAAGAACCCCCTTCCTAAACCTAGCATCATTGCACCTGGGCCTTTGGCCAACTATTTTTTGGTTTAGCCCGATGAAAAATGTATCAAAATTTGACAACTTGGAAAATTCCACGAGCATGGAATGATGCCCTGAATTCTGTCAGTTAGAGATTCAAACACAAATTTTAAAAGGTTTGGAGACCTAAAATAGATATTATGTCAAATAATCACAGGATACAATTTAACTAATTATGACCAACAAGAGATAAAATCTGTGATTATTAAACTAAATAGATATTCAGAATACTGGATGTCAATATAAAAGAAAGGGCCCAGATGAAATCAGGTCTCAGAATGTGTGAAAGCATTCCAAAAAAAGTGTGTGCTCCTCAGGTCAAGGTGAAGGTTACATGACATTCACACACAGCTGGATCACTTTACTGAAGGTATATTCAGCTTCACAGAAATGGTCTTAAAATACTAAATTTTTGAATCAATT